CTTGGGCATGCACGCACACGTGCTCGGCGTGAGTTTTAAGCCACCAGGTCCGGGACACGAACCGCGGTCAACTACGTGGGAGTCCAGCGACATAGCCATTACGCTAACTGCTGGTTCCTTACATTACTTTTTAAAAATGATTATTTATTTATTATTTTTTAATTTGCTAACTAGACATATTTGCTTACCAGAGGGAGAGAAAGTGTGAAAGCAAGCTACTAGGTTCGGGACTTGAATTGTACTCAGCCATATGGGAGTCCAGCACCTAAACCACCACATCACCTACTGGCCCCAGTACATTACTTTAATAATGAGGAAAAAGCCCTAAATGTTACTTTTTTTTAGAAGTTTTTGCTATAGGGCCTGTGTGCTCACCAGATAGACAGAGAGACAGAAAGTGAGAAATCATCCCTCAGGGGGGATGGCCATGCAACAATCCCTTCTCCTCCATTCTCTTCTCGGGATCTTGGACACGTACATACATGGCGCTGGGTGTGAGTTTAAGTTGCCGGGTCTGGGACTTGATCTGTGGTCAAGTACATGAAAGTCCAGCAACATAGCCATTAGGCCAACTGCTGGTCCCCCTTTTTTTTTTTTGAGAGGTTTTTTTTTTTTTTTGCTATAGGGCACGTGCACTCGCCAGACAGACAGAGAGAGACAGAAAGCGAGAAATCACCCCCCAGGGGGATGGTCATGCCACAATCCCTTCTCCTCCATTCTCCTCTCGGGATCTTGGGTACGCATGCACATGCGCCCGGCATGAGTTTAAGCCACTGGGTCCAGGACTGGAACCGCTGTCGACTACGTGGAAGTCCAGTGACTAACTGTTGGTCCCCTGCTGGTCCCCCTAAATGTTACTTTTTAATTGTGGAAAAATATGGATCAGTAGCATGATTTAGGATTCCAGCCCACATTATTCAGCCAGGGTCATCTTTTCTTAGAGAGAGTGTAAACATACTTAAGAATTTACATCAAAAACCTGAGGTATTGTTGTGGAGATAGAAAATAAATATAATATAAAATACGAGAGTGTTCTGGGAATTTAGAGGAAGAAGAGACGACTTCTGACTAGATAGATCAAAAGGGACTAGATAGATGAAGAGAGGGAAGTGGAATGAGCAGAGGTATCGGAGCCGTGCCTGTTTCAGGCATGAGTTATATTCCATATTCATTTAATCCTATAACCCTGTTACATACATGTAAGACTGCAGTGTTCACATATGTCCTTAAATAATTATACAGCTATTTCTCTAGGGAAGAGAAATTGTCTGAGTGCTGCAGTCTTGTATTCCTGTGAATACTGTAGGAATGTTTCTTTCTCTCAAATCTTCCAATATTAATCTCATTTTAATTTTTGTCATCCTCATGGGTGAAAAATGGTATGTCATTTCATTTTGCATTTCCTCAGTCATTTAGAGGTAGATTTTTCATGTTTATTAGTCATTTGTATTTATTTTTCTTAAACATGTACTTCCTTATTTATCTGTTTATTTTTTATGATTTTCAAGCCACCAGGTCTGGTACCGGAACCCCATCATTGGCCATGTGGGAATCCAGCATCTCAACTACCATGTCAGCTGCTGCCCCCATTTGTATTTCTTCTGTGACTTGTTTTTTATTATTTTTGAAAATTTTTTTTGGTAAGTCTTTTGCTCGATTTAGTAGGAGGACTATGTATAATGTGGATAGTAACCATTTTCTATTATATACGTTAAGGCTACTTCTATTACAATATTTGCCTTTTAATTTTTGTTTGTGGTATTCCATTTCATTGTGTATGCCTTAACATAGTCTAGTGCTTTTTATTCATTTTTTTAAAAAGATTATTTAATTTTATTTGTTATTTTTAAAGAATTATTTTATTTAAATTTATTTACTTGTTTATTTTTAATTTGACCAGAGAGGGACAGGGAGAGAGAAAGAGAGAGAATGAGAGTGAGAAAGCAAGCTGCCAGGTTCGGGACTCTAACCACAATTGCCATGTGGGAGTTCAGTACCCTTAATCACCAAGCTACCTGCTAGCCTCAATTATTATTTTTCATTTGCTTTATTTTATTTATTATTTTTTTATTTCATTTTCTTTTATACATTCAATCATGTTATTTAGCTTACTGAGTGAATATTTCAACATGTGAACATTTCTTTCTAGTCCAGTTGATAAAACTATAAAATTATTTTCAACAAATAATATCACATTTCTTTGTCCCATTAATGCTTTGCCTCTCTATTTTTCTTCTAAATGTCCTTTCTCAGACTCTGCTCTCTCACACACACTATATCTGGTATTTACATCCATTCACTGTGTTTCTGTATCCTTTAGCCAGTCCGTTTCAGTCATAGAGTGCAGACGTTCGGGATATATTGAGGGGGACATACAATGTCTCCTTCATAGCCTGGCTTGCTTCACTCAGCAATAAATCTTCCATATTCTTCCACTTTCTGTCAAAAGCCAGGGTTTTATTGTTTTTTATGGCTGAATAGTATTCCATAGAGTATATGTGCCACAATTTTTCAATCCATTCATCTCTTTGTGGGCATTTGGATTAGTTCCAGTTGTGAATAGTGCCGCAGTAAATATCGATGTGCAAGCGATTAAGAATTCTTCTGTCCTTTGGGTAGATACCAGCCACAATTATTTTTTAAATTTGGCCAGAAAGAAAGAAAGGGAAAGTGAGAAAGCAAGCTGCCAGGTCCAGGATTTGAACCGCAATTAGTGATGTGGGAGTCCATTGCCTTAACTATCACCACCTGCCAGCCCAACACAGTCTTGTTTAGGCAATGTTTTTCTTGAGGGCATTGCAGTGTGATGATATACTACCTCACTCCAGTATTGCAAGAGCATTCTCTTATGTGTTGAGGAATTTTGTTCTTTATGTTTGGCTTTTAATCTGCTTGGAATTTATTATTTTGACTGGTATAAGGTAAGACTCATTTATGTCTGGCAGATTTGGCTAACATTTTGACTTTTTAAACTCAGATAGTTTATTATATAAAATAAAATAGACAGTTTTTACTAGTTTTGATTTCTGTTTAAAACATAAGATATTAAAGAAATTGAAGTGTTAAGAATACCTTGTAAGCAAATTAAACATTTTTCAATCTTTTCAGAAAAAAATATGTGAAATCTTATATCCTAAAGTTTGATTTTGACAGAAAAATTCTAGATTATTTAGTTAGTAAAAGCTCTGGGAGGATTAAATTGAGATTTACAGACATAAAATTCCAAAAGAACATTAGAAAGCTTTTTGCAATAGTGTCTGGGGCCAGCCAATAGCGTGGTGGTTAAGGTCCTGGATTCCCACATGGCAACCACTGTTCAAGTCCTGGGCCCAGCAGCTTGAAAATCATGCTGGGGATGTATGTGTTCATGTGTGTCCAAAATCGCAAGAGGAGATTTTGGACAAAGTGAGAGGTCAGCCTCTTGGGGCCTTTGCCTCTGTCTGTATCTCTAGTGGGTACATGTGCCCTCTGGCAAAAAACCTAAAAAAAAAGAAAAGAAAAATATAGTATTCTGCTATGATTCACCTTTGGACAGATCCAGTGTTGCCTTTAGAAACAATAGTAAATCACTGTTTTCTCTCTTCTGTTTCATCTAGACCGTCACTACAAATTAAATACTCAATCAGCTTGTTTTCTAAGTAAGTCACAATGCAGGGATTTAATTGACTTCTTTTCCTTTACATATCCAGGAGAAAATTCAGAGGAATCATCTGGTGAACAACAAAGAAAACGCCATAGATCTGATAGTATCTCCCTCTCCTTTGATGAAAGCCTGGCTCTGTGTGTAGTAAGGGAGCTGTGTTGTGAAAGAAGCAGCAGCAGTGAATCTACAGGGACTCCCTCAGAACCGGTAATGTCCTCATTTCACATAAAACAAGACTTGTTTAATAATTAGTCCTAGTAGTCATAGTAAGAATACAAGGGGACTTTAGCATGTTCACAGAAATTAAAATACAGGTTTATTTTGGTGCAAAAAGATTTTAAAATCCATGCTGTTACTTTCCTAACATCACTCTTAAAAAGTCTGTTGATCTCAGAGGTTATAAAATAATATGTTGTATTTGTTTTTTGTTTTTAGATATAATGGAGACATTATAGATCATTTAATCCAGACTGCTTTTATGGATGAAGTAGATAAAGCTTTTAGAAGTTAAATGATATGTCAGAGGGTTAAATAGCTGCGTAGTGGCAAATCTAGAATAAGATTGACTGAGTCCTGACTCCTAAATCAGTGTATTTTTTTTTTTTTTTTCCATTTGTAGCCTTCTGCTCTGTATATGTTCTTAACCTTAGCCCTTAACAATACCTATTAGGGGCCTAACTTGGTTTCTCTGCTTATTTTTAAAAATTTACTTTTATTTATTATTTTTTAATTTGACAGAGAGAAAGTGAGAAAGCAATCCACCAGGTCCAGGACTCGAACCACAATTTGTCACATGGCAGTCCAGTGCCTTACCACACCACCTGCCAGCCCCTCTTCTGGAAATTTTTCAAGTCTTATAAATAAGCACCCAAAGGAGCACATACAGAGTTTTAAAAATAATTTAAAAAACATTAGGCATACAGGGGCCAGTGGGTGGCATAGTGGTTAAGATGCTGAACTCCTATGTGACCAGCTGTGGTTTGATTCCCAGACTTGGTGGCTTGAAACTCACGCTAGGTGTGTGTGCGTATGTGCCCAAGATCTGAGGAGAATGGAGAAGAAGGGATTAAGACGTGACAATCTCCCCTAGGGGAGTGATTTCTCACTTTCTAGTGAGTACTTGCACCCTATAGCAGAAATCTCTCAAAACAAAAATTAAGCATGAGAGCTGTTAAAAAGAAATTATTATTCAGGTTTACTAAAAAACATCAATGCGGCCAGCCATGGTGAGGCAGCAGTGATAACAAACTCTGTGATACTGAAGCCACTGGTAAGGTCCTGGGTTTACATCCTGAGGCCTTCCTGTACATGCCGACATGTGCATGTGCTTTTGTGATCTTGGCTGGCTAAAGCTGGGGTGGATCATGGTATAAACACCCTGTTGAAGATGCATGTCTTCCCCTCTCTGTCATGGAAGAAAAAAAAATAGTAACAAATGTCATAAATATTATGAATATTGAAATTATTATTCTACCAATCTGCATATGTGAAGGTGATTGAGACAGGTCTTAGCCCTCAAAGTATGTATAATTCAGATGAGAAATGTGCATGCCAAATTATGTTTGCATAATATGTGTGTGAGACTATGGAATTAACGGTGTCATACACGTAGTAAAGATAACTAAAGGCGAAAGAGCTGTTTTATTTACCATACTGGCATAGGCCCAGCCATAGAAGATGGGTAAGATATTTAGGAACTGTCACTTTATTCCAATTATGGCCAGCCTGTGGCATGGTGGTTAAGGTGGTTGAAGCCCCTGTAGCCAACTGTGTGGTTTGAGTCCCAGAGCTGGTAGCTTGAGAAACACAGTGGACGTGTGTGTGTGTGTGTGTGTGTGTGTCCCTGTCTAAAATACAGGAGAAATTAAGAAGGGATAGCGGTGTGGCCATCCTCTCTAGGAGGTGCTTTGTCACTTTCTGTCTCTCCGGCGAGTGCACATGCTCTCTAGGAAACAATTTTTTAAAAAATTATTCTATCTGGTGAGTGAGAGTGTGGAAGTTGTGCATAAATAGGCTTAGGAAATGATCTAGAGCTGACTGGATTGTTCTTATTTAGTAAGGAAGAAGGGGGATTGGAGATAAGATATAGTGTTATTATAGTTAATATCACATGTATCTTTGATGCCAAAAGGCTTTGGCCTTTTTCCTTTTTGAATGGGGTATTGAACAGGGAAACTAATGATACTGTAGTAGTAACTTAGAACCATAATCTAGTGGCATTGCACAGGATGGATCTGAGACAGAACTGGAGACGCAGGTATGAGTTAGGAAACTGTTACAGAGGCCACGAGGTAATGTATATTAAGTCATTTTTATTTATTCATTTATTTATTTATTTATTTATTTATTTATTTTGCTTAGGATCTTGAAGCTGATGTAAGTGAACATTCAGGTGATTGGTTGGATCAGGATTCAGTTTCAGATCAATTTAGTGTAGAATTTGAAGTTGAATCTCTCGATTCAGAAGATTATAGCCTTAGTGAAGAAGGACAAGAACTCTCAGATGAAGATGATGAGGTAGTTCTTTTACTTTCTATAATTGGAAAATTGTTAGATATATTTCATGTGTATTGATTTTGAGATTGAAATAATATATTCACATTTCACTTAATTTTTGCCTTTCAACTTTTTCTCCCTTTACACTTACTCATTTGACCTGTTTCAGAATTTTGGCTTAGTATATTGGTTTTGTAGACTTTAGGCATTCATGTTAACTTACTGATTGATTTATAATCTTACATTATTACTAATGCCAAGAAGTCAGTAGGCAGTAATGAATAGTTTTATCCTTTGTTCATGTTTTAAAATATTTAATTCCCTCCTTTAAAATTAGTTTTTTACAGAAGTAAAACATGCATACACTTAAAGTCAGACAGTACCTCCAGAGCTGTTTCCTAAAAGTGACTCTCCAACTCTCTTCTAGTTATTTTTGTTATTTAATACCTCCATATTTATCAAATAAACACATAATTTGAATGATTTATTCATTTAAAACATGCTGGTTATTGACTTTAACCATAATGGGTGAAAATTGCACCCTTTATTTTTCTCCCTTTACACTTACTCATTTGATCTGTGTTTCAGAATTTCTCATATACAGTAGTACATGTTTGGGACTTAGACTGTGAAGCCTTCTTGGTTGAAGGGGAAAAGGTGATTACTTGATACTAATAAATTTATTTTATTAGGTGTATCGAGTTACTGTGTATCAGGCAGGGGAGAGTGATACTGATTCATTTGAAGATGACCCTGAAATTTCCCTTGCTGTAAGTATGTGTGTGTGTGTGTGTATATATATATATATTTTTTTTTACCCCCCCCCCCCCCCCCCGCCGCTCTAATTTGCCAGAGAGTGCATGCACTCATCAGAGAAGGAAAGGGAGAAAGCCACTCCCTAATGGGGCGTGGTTATGCCATAATCATTTCTTCATTTCTCCATTCTGTTGGGATTTTGGGGCCTGCATGCACACACACCTGGCATGTTTTTTCAGGTTGCTGGACTAGGATTTAAACTGAGTGGTCGGCCATGTGGGGTCCATTCTTCATTAAGTAGTAGGGCATGGCGCCAGCCTATCTTTTTTTTTTTTTTTTTTTTTTTTTGCTATAGGGTGTGTTTGCTTGCCGGAAAGAAGAATGAGAAAGCACTCACCAGGGGGATGGCCATGCTGCAGCCCCTCCTCCATTCTCTCTTCAGGATTTTAGGCTTGTACACACATGGCGCCTGGTATGTTTTCCAAGTGGTGGGGTCTGGGACTTGAATCATGCAGTTGGCCATGTGGGATCAAGCCACTTTAATCACCATGCCACCCGCTGGCCCCTATCTGCTTTTTTAAAGGAATCCAAAAATAATACTGAAGTCAAGCTTAGAAAAATGTCTATTTGAGCCACGAGGTGGGCATGATGGTTAAGGCGCTGAACTGCCACGTGATTGACCATGGTTTGAGTCCTGGCCCTGGTGGCTTGCTTTCTCACTTTCTCCCTCCTTCCCTTCCTCCCCCCTTCTCTCTCTTGTGAGTGCACCTGCCTTATAGCATATTTTAAAATAACAATAATAAAATTAAATAATTATTTTTTTTTAAAAAATGTTTAGTCTACTTCTTGAGATGATTTTATAAAGTTTATTTTTTTTATTTGGGGGACCAGCAGGTTGCATGGTGGTTAGGGTGCTGGATTCCCACAGTGCCCACTGTGTTTCAAGTCCTGGATCTGATGCCTTGCCTTCTCACTTTCTCTCTCTCTCTTCCTCTCCCCCTCCTCTGGTGGGCACATGTGTCCTTTGGCAAATTAAAAAATAATAATATAATTTAAAAAAAACTTAAAAAAAATTTTTTTTATTACTTTAAGTTTTTTTGCCATAGGGTGTGTGTGCTCACCAGAAACAGATACAGTGAGAGGGAAAGTGAAAAATCACCCCAAGGGGGTATAGCCTCATCACAATCCCTTCTCCATTCTGCTCCTGGAATTTTGTACATGTACATACACGTATCCAGCATGATTTTCAAGCTGTTGAGTCCAAGATTCAGAGGTCTTAGAAGTTTCTTTTAAACTGAATATTGCTTTCATTTTCTTTTTTATGCCAGAGGGTATGTTTGTATGAATGGCAGTGGGTTAGGAGAGTGCATGTGTGAGAGATAACGGGCACCTTCCTGTTTGGGGCCTGGTCGCACAGTAACGTTTTTTCTTCCATCCTATCAGGATCTTGGGCCTAAGCATATGACCACTGTATTTCTCAAGCTTCTGGGGCTGAGACTGGAACTTCAGTTGGCCCCATAGATCTGTTTTTTTCTGTGCAGTGCTTAACTGCTATGTTGTGGGACAAGTCCTTCTTTAATTTTTGTTCATTCTAATTAATAGTGCCTCTTATTATATTTGTATAGGAAATCCATTTTTCCTTCCTGAATAATCAGTGATGATCCAAATGCAAAAAAGATGAAAATTGAAAATCTTTTCCAAAATTTTTACTGTGCTAAAAATAATTCAGATAATTAGGTGACCCATTTAATGTCAAGTTAAGTGAAATATTTCAGACATAGATCTTGCACTTGACTGACACACTTTCTCAACCATATTGCAAGACCTGTGTTTGGTTTTATGAGCTAGTGAAACTACCTTTGACAACTCAAAAGAACTAATGGGGGTCGGGAGCTGGCAGGTGGTATGTTGTTAGGGGTGGGTGCTGGACTCCCACATGGCTAACCATGGTTCAAGTCTTGGACCTGGTGGCTTGCTTTCTCACTGTCCTCTCTGGTCAAATTAAAAAAAATAATGAAGTTAAATAATTCTTAAAAAAAAATCAGTAAGGGAAAATAAGCAGTCTCTATTATTGCTACTGCCTTATGCCATTTGTTATGCAGTCTAAAAATGGTTACATTATTCATGGCATGAGAGGAAGGACCTCTTATGGAAAATTTCACATGTAAAGTGTCCTCAGGCAAGAAGCATGCCGCAGTTAATGTGAGAGATAAGGACGTGTTCAGTTAAAAGACTGGGAACAAAGAGTTTGTTATCCTAGTTGCACGGCAGAAGGCTTGAGAGAGAAGTTAGGATAAGAAACAAGCACCAAGCAGTTACAGAAATGAGAACTCAGGAAAAGATAGAGCAGTAAGAGGGCATACGTGGGATAGTCATCTAGGATGACAGGTTTTAGCTGGCCAAGATCGCTGAGAATGGTTCAGTGTTTCTCTTGTGGATCGAGTTGAGGAGTACTCAGTTGAGCCATGGTTTTAGAGCACTTAACTCAGGGGCGTCCCAGTTACTGATGGACTGGGAAGGCTTTTCTAGGAGGCAGGTTTCACCTACTGAGTAGATTGGGTGAACTCTAGGCACAAGGTCAGAAGCTGAAACCTTAAGGGAGTTAAGTTACAGAGTAAAAGATCCCAAATAACTCCTTTCAGCTAATGTAACTATGTATGGGTCATCAAATAGATAACTGCAGAGGGACATGGTTAGTATCAGAGTTAATACAATTTTGGATTTAAGGTTTTCTATCATGACATGGCTAAAAATAAAGGTACTTCATCTTACACTTGAGAGTGTGTTACATATTGACTTAAAAAATCTTTTTGTATATATTTGAGGTATACAACCTGATGTTTTGATATGTATATATTAGGGGTTTTCAACAAGCGTATGGAAAATGCATATTTTAAAAAGCTATGCATGGATTAAAAAACTTTTTGTGGACTAGCAGTTGTAATGGTTACACTGCTGGACTCCCACGCTGGCAACTATAGTTCAAGTCCCAACCCAGCGACTTAAAACTCATGCCTGGTGCATGTGTGTGCATGCCCAAGATCCTGAGAGGAGAATGGAGGAGAAGGGATTGGGGTGATTTCTCACTCTTGTCTGTCTGTCTGGTGAGCACATGTACCCTATAGCAAAAATCTCTTTTAAAAAAAATTACTTTTGCACTAAAATAAACTCATACTTTAATTCCATAATCTTTTTGAAGTCCCCTTGTACATGGGGAAATGATTACTACAGTCAAGCAAATTAGCTTTCTATTATACCACACAGTTACCTTTTTTGTGTGTATGGTAAAGTACCTAAAATCTACTCAGTGAACTTCTAGTATATGATAGAGTATTACTAACTATAGTCTTTGTGCAGTACATGTTTACTATTTTTCTTTTCTTTTCTTTTTTTTTTTTTTGGAGAGGTTTTCGCTATAGGGTGCGTGCGCTCGCCAGAGAAGCAGAGAGACATAGAGACAGAAAGCGAGAAATCACCCCCCCAGGGGGATGACCACGCCGCAATCCCTTCTCCTCCATTCTCCTCTCAAGATCTCGGGCGCACACGCACCCGGTGTGAGTTTTAAGCCACTGGGTCTGGGACGCGAACCACGGTCAACTACGTGGGAGTCCAGCAACATGGCCATTACGCTAACTGCTGGTTCCCAATGTTTACTATTTTTCTTGCCAGAGCACTTGCTGGAGAGAGAGGGTGAGAGGGAGAGAGCGCAAGATTGCACCCACCATGGGATATTATCACCCTATAATCTCTTCACCTCCATCTCCCTCCGTTTAGAATTTTGGGTACTCATGTGTACAGTGCCTGGTGTTTTTTTCAAGCCGCCGGGTCCAGGACTTGAACCATGTGATCAGCCATATGTAATCCCACTGCCTTAACCACCAGGTCACAGGCTGGCCCTTGACTATTTTATAAAACATGAAACACTGACAGTTGAGCTATGTGACATATTTGATATTAGTCAAATTGAAGTCACTAGTAAGGGCCGAAACTAACTCTGTTTTATTTCATTAAAGGACTATTGGAAATGTACTTCATGCAATGAGATGAACCCTCCCCTTCCACCACACTGCAACAGATGTTGGGCTCTTCGTGAGAATTGGCTTCCTGAAGATAAAGGGAAGGATAAAGGGGAAATCCCTGAAAAAAACAAATTAGAAAACCCAACACGAGCAGAAGAGGGGTTTGATGTTCCTGACTGTAAAAAAACTCCAGTGAATGATTCCAAAGAGTCACGTGGTGAAGAAAATGATGATAAAATTACACAAGCCTCCCTGTCACAAGGAAGTGAGGACTATTCTCAGCCATCAACTTCTAATAGCATTATTTGTAGCAGCCAAGATGATGTCAAAGAGTTTGGGAGGGAAGAAACACAAGACAAAGAAGAAAGTATGGAATCTAGTTTTCCCCTTAATGCCATTGAACCTTGTGTGATTTGCCAGGGTCGACCTAAAAATGGTTGCATTGTCCATGGCAAAACAGGACATCTTATGGCATGCTTTACATGTGCGAAGAAGCTAAAGAAAAGGAATAAGCCCTGCCCAGTGTGTAGACAACCAATTCAATTAATTGTGCTAACTTATTTCCCCTAGTTATAGTATGTCTATAAAAGTAGATTTATATATCTGTATATAACCCTAAAAGGGATTTGTGTGTAATGAATTCTTTTTTGAAAGTAGAAAACCATGGGACCAGCAGATGGCGTCATGATTACGTCACTGGACCCTCATGCGGTTGACCATGGTTTGAGTTTGGGGGCACTTTGAGACTCACGCCTAGCGCATATGCGTGCATACCCAAGATCCCGAGAGGAGAATGGAGGAGAAGAGATTGTAGCATGGCCATCCCCCCAGGGGGTGATTATTTGATTTCTGTCTGTCTCTGGTGAACGCATGTGCCCTGTATCAAAAATTTCTCTTAGAAAAAAAAAAAGAAAGAAAATAGGACCAGCAGGTGGTCTGGTGATTAAGGGTGCTGGACTCCCACATGACTGATTGTGGTTTGAGTCCTAGACCTGAAGTCTTGCTTTCTTACTACCCCCCATGCTGGAAATATTAAAATGATAATAAAGTTAAATAAGCTGATTCTTAAAAAAACAGAAAACAGTTTCTAGTTTATTTTCTAAATTGTCATATCTATCACCTTTCAGAAATTGGTACCTGTAGTTTAGCCATTTCCTACTTAGCATTGCCTCATTTACACTGTTTCTTGGCATGTTTTGGAATGCTGATGTAAACTGGAGCCCAACCTCTGTCCTATGACTGGAAAGTCAGGATTAGTTTATACCGATGAGGGTTAAAAACACTTGGAAATCAATAAAATTGGATAATCAGGACAAAAAAACTTCACACTCTATCAGTATTTCCAAAATGTGTTCACAAATTGAGGAATGTTATTACTAAGGAATGGAACTAGTCCAAATTATTTTGGAAAATAATTCTATGGCTAACAGTCTGTTTGGAAATTTATTTTTTTAAAAATTTTTCTGTAGAGTGTGTATACTCACTGGAAGGGATGGGAGTGAGAAATTCCCCTCCTCTCCCCCTGGGGGGATGGCCAAATTTCAGTCCCTTCTCTTTTATACTCTGGGGATTTTGGACATGCATGCACATGTGTCTAACATGTTTTTCAAGCTGCTGGGTCCAGGACTCAAACCACATGGACTTGTAGGATCCAGCTACCTTAATTTCACACCGTTGACTGGCTTGGGAATGCCATTTATTTTCTGCATGACTTCTCAGACCCTATACTGCATTGCTGTGAACTTCACAAAATTTGTTTTGACCAGAATGCATGGTTTTCATCCTTTATCTTGTCCACTAAACACATTGCCTCACGACACATACTAATTTGGAATATATCACATACAGTATAAACATTATTTAAAAAATTGCCCAAGTGCATGTGTACCTGTCAGAGGAAGAGAAAGCACCTCTCCCACCTCCAGTGGGCATGGTCATGCTGGGATGTCATCTCCAGTTCACTACCCGTGTTGGGAGTTTGGGCATGCATGTACACGTTCTTGATATGTGTGTGTGTGTGTGTGTTTTGTTAGCCCCCCAGGCTGGGAACTGCGGTTGACCATGTGGGATTCAACTCTAACCTCTAGGCTATGGGGTTGGCCCAACCTATTGAGAGATGTTAAATTTGGTCTTCTCTAGGCTTCATTTGGTAGCAGTTTTTTCTAGTATCTGGATTTTATTAGACTTGTATAAGCTGTTTTCAAGGTAATGTAAATGGAAGGAAACAGTATTCATTATTTATATGAATATTCTTTATTGAGAATCAGAAATACTCTAAATTTACTAAACTCAGAGGTAGTCATAGCCCCTCCCCAATACACATTACAGACTTTGAGAATTTATGTATTTTAATAAATTCTTAATCGTAGTGCCAAAGAAAGATACTGTGAGAATGCTTGTGAAATCCGCTTATGAAACATTTACAAAAGGCTGTGGAATAGTTTATGTGCTAAAGTATGGTAAAATGGTTTATGAGTAATATAGTACAATATCTGCTTATTAGTGATAGAATGTAAAGTGTGTAACAAATGCAAACTTCTGTGGTCTCAGCTTTTGTTGCTCTTTAACCAACCTGACCATCATTTTCTCTCTGCTTCCTACTGTCTGAGTCATGAGAAAGACCTAAGGGATCTGCGATAAAATAAGCAAACTGAATTGTTACCAAATAGAATAAGAACCAGATTTCTCAATAAGCAACTTACTCTGTTGTAGTAAGACAAAATATGCTTAAGTTTCTGGATTCTCCAAAAAAAGATATTTACAATCTAGCATCAGATATTTTGACTATCTGAACATAGTAAGTTACACATCATTTTCTGAAGAAGATTATAAAGGCAAATTTGCTTCTGTAACAAAATTACAACATTGATTTTTCAGACTTTCAGAATGTTGTGAAGAGGCTTTTTAACATTTCCAATAACATCCAACAGCTCAAGTCAGAATGACAAATTAAGCACCAAAATCAATACTGACACTTATCTGTAAGGATTTAACATTTCTCCAAAATATTCCCTACCATTTAGATTCATTGTTAACATGATAATTGAGTAGGTACATGAAAAAAAGCTAAGTAACTTTGTGAAATTTTCCTTAAATATTACACAATCATTCTAGCTGTCAGATTACAGGTCATATCTTTCTATGTGAGGCAGAAGGTTTGGTTTTTTAAAGTTTATCATACTGCCTTTAGACTTCTGCCTTCCTTCCTCCACCTATATAGCACCAATAATGGCACCAGAATGTGGCAGGGCCCACTGTTTTAACAGTTGTAGAATTCCTGTGAAGCAGGGGTCTGAATTTCACAGGTAAGGAGTATGAGTATGGTGGATTTGAACCCAGGGATCCTGCCTTCTCATGATCATCTCTTGAATTTTCCCTCATATTTTGAAAGCCTTTATTATGTCGGTTCCTCTATTAAAAAAAAATTAGTTTTACTACTTGCTGTAGGGCATGTGTCCTCACTAGAGAGAGACAGTGAGAAAGTGAGAAAGCAAGCTGCCAGGTCTGAGACTCATACTGTGGGTGGCTATATAGGAATCCAGCACCTTAACCACTACACCATCTGCTGGCCCCTGGTTTCTCTAGTTAAAGGATTTTCCCTGAATTTTGAGCCTGAGGAGCATAATCTCCAGTCTAAAAGGGGGGTCCACAGTGGGAAAGGTGGTAGGAGGGAGGTTTGGGGACCCTGTCTGACCACAGTCAAAATTTTATGGTTCTGTTTTTAAATGAATTTAAGTTTGATTCACATACAAATTTCTGATTTCAAAAATATTTTAGTAAGAAAACTAAGGCTCATGAACAAATCAGACTTTAGTTCATATCCTTTCAAAAACTTCTGTCTTAGAAAAGGAAAAATTAGAATTCAGGCCAGTTGAAAAGTTGCTTGAGGATAATACAAGTTTAGATTTTATGCTTTAATATGTACTCATTTCTTATAGTGTTAATGCATATTTTTCAGGTATGTAATAAATTACTGCCAATTTAAGTAAAAATGGTCAAGGTATTCAGGTTATTGCCAGATGTTCAGGTGGTTAAAAAGACTACAAATTCTATTAACATGGTTTTGTGTATGTAAAATAAACTTGGCACAGATTGGGTCCCTGAATGCCATGAATCCCCTTATTCTCAAACATATACCATGTACTAAGGCCAGTATGTTTTTTTTTAATTTTTACTTTTTTTTGGGGGGGGGGATTTTTGCTATAGAGTGCATGTGCTCTCCAGAAAGACAGAGACAAAGCGAGAAATCACCTCCCCCCCAAGGGGATGGCCACGCTGCAATTCCTTCTCCATTCTTTCGGGATCTTGGGCACGCACACACACGCGCCCGGTGTGAGTTTAAGCCACTAGGTCCAGGACTGTAACTGTGGTTGACTACATGGGAGTCCAGCAATGTAGCCATTATGCCATCTGCTGGTCCCTAGTTTTACTTATTTTTAAGAACCAAAGCAACTCACTTTCCATGTAGATATCTGCCAGAATGCTATTTTTTTTTTTCTGTCTTATGGCCCCACAATTGTTACATATGTTTTAAGATCTGTTAACACACAATGGAGAATGGTACCTTCTAGTTGAGTACTAACAGTAAACATTTGACTTTCTGATTTAAAAGAAGGTAACTTGTAGTTCTGTTAATAGGTAACAGTGCTTTTTACTATACACCTTAGGATAAGTGCAAGGTCCAGTAAAAGCACTGTATGAGGATTTTTTTCTTGATGCATAAAACTGTTCTTCGGTCAGGATTCTTTTCTTGATGCGTGCATAAAACTGCCCTTCTGTCAGTTTTACTACGGGTTAGTAACCTTGGGATCAGAAGTATTTTGGATTTTTGACATTAGATTTTGGAATATTATACTGAAATATCTTAGGGACTGGAGAGCCCCAAGTCTAAACACAAAATTGATTCATGTTTGACATATACCTTATAAACATAGCCTGAGGATAAATTTATGTGATTTTTTTATTGTGGCACTTTGCAACCATCACGTGCAGTCAGGTGTGGAATTTTCCACTTAGGGCATCATGTTAGCCTCAGAAAGTTTTAGATTTTGAAACATTTTGGATTAGGGATGCCCAACCTGTAGGGAGCTGGAGAGTCCCAAAGCATAAAGCCTATTTTCATAAAATGACTCAGAGCTCTAGTTTCTGGAAGGGACCCAGGGTGTGCAGGCTGTTGGAATCTTTCATACATTCATTCAGGCCTATGTGCTAGGTTCAATATAAAAATGAACCTTTCAACCAAAGAGCTTGTGCACTCCTAGAAAAGGCCCACATGGAAGTAGATCATACATAATACAGTGCTGAAAATTCAGTAATAGAACTTGTTTATTTTAGGGAGCAAAGAGGAAGTGCTCCTAATTCCAGATTTTGTGTGTTGTGGGGAGGTGGGATAGAATCAAATGGATGACAGCAGAGGCTTCCTAGCAGAGGTGATACCTGAGCTGAATTAAAAAAAAAAAAAAAATTGCCAGAGGGTGTGGGCCCTCAGCACCCCCTATGGGGAGTGGTCATGCTACAGTCTTCATTTTTCCCATTTTTGGGGGGATTTTAGGCATGAACACTTGCCCCTGGGGTATTTCATAAGTCACCAGATCTGGGACTTGAACTGTGTGGTCAGCCTTGTGAGATCCAGCCACCTAAACCACTGCCATGGGTTGGCCACTGGTCTGAGTTTTAATGGAGTTGGAGAAAAAATTAGTAAGAATGACATTCCAGATATAGGGAACACACATGCATTTAGGAACTACAACAAATGATTGTTGATTTTTCTAAGTAGCTCTCCTTCCCTAGTCCTTGTGGGAGATGGTCTTGAGGAGAAGCCTGGGAGCAAGAGATAAGTAAACCTTTGCACTCGTGCAGGTGAGATATGAGGGACTAAACTGCAAGTTCGTAGCTTGTGGAGAGGGTAGAATTAGTATGTATAATTAACACCAGTCTTCAGTGATTGACCGTAGGATTAAGGAGGAGGAGGAAGTATTGAGATTGACTCCCAGGTTTCTAGCTGGAGAAAATTGAGATAGAGAATACAGCAGGAAGACCAGCTCCAGAGGGAAAAGTAATGCTCCATTTTTGACGGGAGCTGGAGGCACCTTTGAGTCACATTCAGGTAACTGTCGAGTGGGCAGTAGGCCATGAGTCTGAAGCTCAGGCAAGAGGCGAGAGTTAACATTTGTAGGTCATCGTAACAGGATGATGGCATCCATGTTCAGAGAGGCGGGGGGAGCGGGGCTGGAGGGGAAGAGACTGAAATGACCTGCAGCTTTGAGGTTCTGCAGATAGAACCTTGTCATCCTATCAGGTCTGTGTTCTCTTGGGACACAGAGACAGTTGCTTATTTTCTCTTTCTCCTCAGAACATTTGAAAGCTAAATGTTCCCAGCCTTAGGATCATGTCTCCCTTCATTGAGAACTGATTATATATGGCACTTACTCTTCACATACGGCATTCATGGTAAGGTCTTGTATATAGTAAATGCTCGTCTTTATTGCTTATATCCATCTGGCTCTGCATGCAAAATTAGTTCCTTTTCTTCTTGCAGGAACTTCTCTTGCTTTTCAAGTTTAACTTCTCACAAATGTCTAAGACTTCAAGATTAAGTGTAAGTGAGCAGTATTTGGTAGCTAGGTGTCTTCCTTCATCATCAAGGACAGATCACTCTTCATCACCATATTTGTTTACTGCAGAATTTGGAAACATCCACTTCTCTTATTAGGAAAGACTGGAGGCTATCCTGTTGAGGTCCCATAACAGGGAGTTAGGGATATAGTAACCTGGTGTGAGTAATCCCTGATTCCAGGTGGTGACTGGGGTTGAGTTTCACATTGTACTTTATTTGAAAAATATGTGTAAAAAAGTCACTAAAAATAAGAACAAACTAGGCTTTGTTGCAGCTGAATGGCTTGGCAGTTCTTTGTATAGAGGAATCATTGGGCATGGAGGATTTGATGCTTGGATGGAATCCAGTTGCCCTTGGAATGGAAGTAGAATATCCTTTTTAAGAGCACTGAAGGTCTGGGATTTCTCTGGAATAATCACCTTTGTGAGGTACGGACTGTGTCCAGGGACAGTAACCTGAGAGGAAACAAACAATTGTATGAGTGATTTCAGATGTCTCATGGTGCCAACACTGATAACCACCACTGAAATGCAGCCTTTGTGCAATGCATGTAACAATCTGCCAGGCCTCCCGGGCTAGTAATAGATTTAGTCCTGCTTGCTGAATGAGTTTCCCAATACCTGTTACCATAGAATGTAGTTGTTAATACTGTGGCTAAGAATTACAAAGTAAAGACAGAGACAGGTACTTTATCTAGAGATAAGTCAGTAGAAGGAAGCCACCATCATTTCCATGGAACACAAAGGTAGAGTTGATGTTTCCCTGTGTCTCAAGTCTGAACTCAATATCCTCACTGGACATCAAGATAATTAGAATTTTTTCCAGTTGATTCCCTTTCCTCACAGCTGATCTAAGTGTACAGGTTTATTGTTTCCTTAAAAAGATTTTATTTTACTTGGGTTTGTCCATATGAGTCTGACTTGTGTTAGATTTTTTTTTTTAATGAAACAGAAATTAGACTAAATGCTAAACTAACTATAGGCAGCACCTACTGGGAAATGGTTTTAATATATTTTAGCCATTCATTTCAGTTTCCAACATCTTACTTTCCAGTCTTACCCTAGAACTTTCCAGTGTGTCCTGAGGAATGAACAATTCACAACTTTATTTTTAAAAAGGTCTGGCTTATTTATAGGATTGCATGAAAATAAGATTCACTACAAGGAAAATCCTTTTTTTTTTTTTAACCATGGAATGGAAATATTATAGTAAGCTGGAAGATAAAAGACCTTTTTAGGCTAAGATTCACAGTGAATTGAGATTTTTCATGCGCACTCAATCTCAATAGGACTAATGGTTCACAAAAGGATTAACAATTGAGGAGCCCCACTGCTGGCACTATGGGGACAACCTATGAAGCTGGGAGGCTCTGAATTCCATAGAATTGTATAAATGAAATACCAGGACATTATGTCCTAAAGATGAAGTAATGAAATATAAATCTAGTTCCTACTACAGAAGAGAGAACTACCTTCTAGTTACAACATGACTGCTATGGCTGGCATCACCCACTAAAAGTAAAGGAACCTTGGCTGGCCCCATGGTCTAGTGGTTAAGGGAGTCAAATCCTACATGGCAGATCACAGTTCAAATCCTGGCCCTGGTGGTTTGAAAAACATGTCTGGCATGTGTGTGTGTCTAAAATATAGACAAGATGGAGAAACTGAGAAGGGATTATTGGCCTAACCATACCCATTGAGGGGTGCCTTCACCCTTTCTTTTTCTGATGAGTATACATACCTTCTGGCAAAATTGGGGAAAAAAGCTAAATAGAAAAGCTAAATAGAATTTATCTAAGAAATTAAAAATCATAAAAGAAGAGGCACAGTCTGACCAACTAAATCAGGTACTCAGTTAATTTTATTGCCAGAAGGTGCATGTACTCACTGGAGAGAGATAGGAGACAGGGTATGATCATGCTGCAGTCTCTCGTCCATTTCTCTGCCCTGTTGAGATTTTAGACACACATGCACATGTATCCAGCACATGTTTTCCCAGCTGCTGGGGCTGGGATTTGAACTGCAGTTGACCATCTGGGATCCTTCTCCCTTAACCTCTAGACTAAGAGGACAGTCTCGTACTTAAGGAGTTCACATAAACCTACTGAGGCTCAAATTATTCCATGTCTCCTCCAAGAAAGAAGGCTCAGAAACATGCATCTTATTTTGGGACCAGCAGATGCCATAATGGTTACATCGCTGGACTCCCACATGGTTGATTGTGGTTTGAGTCCTGGACCTTGTGGTTTCAAACTCACACTGGGCATGTGTGTGTGTATGTCCCAAATCCCAAGAGGAGATGAAGAGAAAGAATTGCAGCATGGTCATCTCCCCTGGGGGGTGATTTCTTGCTTTCTGTCTCTGTCTCTGCAGCAAGTGCATGCTCCCTATAGCAAAGATCTCAAAAAAAAAACCCAAAAAACAAAAACAAACAAAAACAACCTATTTTACTTACATTACAAAATATGCCTATCACTTGCTTAATACACTGATAAACTTTGTAGATCAAATTTCACTTGTAATAAATTCTATAGGACTTGTCCTAATCCATTTTTTCTTTTTAAAATTTTTGCCATAGGTTATGTGTGCTCAACAGAGAAAGAGACAGAAGTGAGAAAGCACCTTTCAGTGGGGGTGACCTTGGTACAATCCTTTCTGTTCTCCTGTAGGGATTTGAGGCATGCATGCATATATACCCAGTGTTTCTCAAGTGGCTTGGTCCAGGACTCAAACATGCAGTTGGCCATGTGGGATTCAGCCGCCTTAACAACCTTGCCACAGGCTTGGCCCCAATTGATTTTTTAGAAGAGGAAATTGTGTTTCATGGAATGGGTATTATATATTTAATGAAACTCGACAGTACTTTTGCTATGTTGTTTAATTAATTTTTATTCTATTTAATTTTTTCAGAGAGATTTTTGCTATAGGGTGCGTGCTTTCGCCAGAGAGCCAGAGAGACAGAAAGTGAGAAATCACCCCCAAAGTTATGGCTACACTGTAATTCATTCTCCATTTTCCTCTTGGGATATTGGGCATGCACACACACATGCCTGGCATGAGTTTAAGCCACCAGGTCTGGGAGTCCAGCGATGTAACCAGCCATCTGCTGGTCCCTGTTGTTTAATTATTATTAAGAGATTGCATTTAAAGTATTTCCAGAGGGTGCATTTGTTTTCCAGAAAGAGACAGAGAGGGAACAGAAGAAAGCACCTCCCTAATGGGATGTGAACATGCCTTAGTCTCTTCTCTTCCATTTTTCCATCTTGTGCAACTTAGGGCACACATGCAAATAATATATTTCAAGCTGCTGGGCTTGGGGTTTGAACTGCAATTTGAAATGTGGGATCTGGGTCCCTTAATCACCAGTTGACAGAGTTGGCCTGAGATGACTTTTTTTGTTTTGTTTTGTTAGTTTACTATAGGGTATATACACTCGCCAGAGATAGGTAAAATGAGAAAGCATTTCAAAAGGGGATGGCATACTGCAATCCCTTCTCCATTCTCCTTTGGGATTTGGGCATGCATGCATACTCACCTGGTGTGTTTTTCAAGCCAATGAGGCCAGGACTCAAACTGCTCAGTTGGCCATGAGGGATTCGACTACCTGAACCATCATACCACTGGCTAGCCTGAGATTACATTTTAAAATAATAAACTATATCACAAGAAATACAATTTGTCTTCTATTAAAATTAATTGCCAACTGAAAAAAAAAATAAACATGGACTTATTTGGCCAGCCAGGGGTGTAATGGTGAAGGCAGTTGGATCACACATAGCTGACTATGTAGTTTGAGTCCTGGATGCAAGAGCTTGAAAAACATGGCAGGCACATGTGTGTGCATGCTCAAAATCTCAAGAAGAGAAGGCATTGCAGCATGGCCATCCTTCCTGGAGATGCTCTCTCTCTCCCCCACCCTCCTACCCTGGCAAGCACACTTGCCCTATAGCAAATTAAAAAAATAAATAAAAGAGCCCTTAGGACACCTAGAGCTCTTAAAAAAGGGGGAAAAAGTTTCTTGTTTGTTCCTGCCATTCCTACCACTCAACCTCCACCAATTCAACTGCAGGTTTGATGTCCTTTCTTTCAGCCCTGATGTATCTACTTTTTGATTTCCAGATTTATTATTATTTTTGAAGATTTATTTATTTAATTCCATTTGCTATTACTGTTATTATTATTATTTTTAATTTGACCAGAGAGAGAAAGGGAATGTGAGAAAACAAGCCAGCAGGTCTGAGACTTGAGTGGTGGTCAGGTACGTGTGAGTCCAGAGGTTTAACCACCATGCCACCTGCTAGCCCCTACTTTACTTGCTTTTTAAAGTTTATTTCTTTGGATAGAAAGAGAGAAAGAAATACTGCATTTCCACAGTGTCGCTATGTCAAGATCCCTCCCCAGCCTTCAGCTAGCCCCACATCGTGGGCAAGCGTGTGCCCAGCATACTCAGGGAGGTGTTTGGACTTGAGCTGGGAACCTGGCCCTGCCGATTGCCCTCTAGACATTGTGTTTTAGCAGTGCACTGACATCTGGCCCCTTTGAGATCTATTTTAGATTCTTTATGAGTGAATAAGTATTGTGAGTCTTATAACTTCTTTTTTTTTTAATTTGTTACAGGGTGTGTGTTACAGGCTGGCCCTAGTATTTTAATAAAATAACTAGGATTGCATACTTACATTTATTATATAGGACCCAGGCAAGAGAAGGAGATAATATTCCCCAAATCTGTTGGTTCTGAAGGGACAGATATGTTTTCTGTCTTGGACTTCCACAATTACATTGGGTAATGGATTTCTGTTCTGATCAAAAACTTGACCCTTTACACCTGTAAGACAGAAAATTAAATGTAAACATAACATTGTATGGCATATGGAAAAAAATATAACTAAGAAAAATATGCCCAATATTTACTGGCCATTTTGCATTAATAAAGTGTTAGAGAAGGGAAGGTTTTTGTTTTTGTTTTAGGATTTTGCCAGAGGGCATGTGCACTGGCCAGAGAGAAACAGCTAAAGGGAAAATGAGAAATCATGCCCTGGTGGTGGGGGGGGGGATGGCTGTCACATCACACTCCTACCATTATCCTCTTGGGATTTTAGACATGCATGCACACACACCTGACATAATCTTCAAGGTGCCCAGTATGGGACTCGAACCATGATTGGCCATGTGGGAATCCAGCCCCTTACCCACCATGCTACCTGCTGGCCTTAAAGGGAAAGTTTTTTTTTTTTTTTTTTTTTTTTTTTTTTTTTTTTTTTTTGTGGGTTTTTTTTTCCACCGGCGTGTTTCCTCCCGAGCACGCGTTTGCTCACCAGAAAGACAGAGAGACAGAAAATGAGAAATCACCCCTGGGGGGATGGCCATGCTGCAATCCCTTCTCCATTTTCCTTTCGGGACCTTGGGCACACATACACATACGCCAGGCATAAGTTTAAGCCAGCGGGTCTGGGACTCAGACAGCGGTTGACTACATGGGAGTCCAGTGATATAACCATTATGCCAACTGCTGGTCCCAAGGAAAAGTTTTTTTTTTTTTTTTTTTGAGAGAGATTTTTTTTCGCTATAGGGCGCGTGCGCTCGCCAGACAGAGAGAGAGACACAGAGACAGAAAGCGAGAAATCACCCCCCCCCAGAGGGGATGGTCACGCCGCAATCCCTTCTCCTCCATTCTCCTCTTGGGATCTTGGGCACGCACGCACACGTGCCCGGCGTGAGTTTTAAGCCACCGGGTCCGGGACATGAACCGTGTTTGACTACATGGAAGTCCAGCGACATAGCCATTACGCTAACTGCTGGTTCCCAGGAAAAGTATTTTTTAACAACTACCTCTCTCTGAAACAGGGATGGCACCCCCAACAGGGTCTATAGGCTACGATCTACCCTAGCCTCAGTCAATTCCCCACCATGGGCAAGTATTTTCCCACTGTACTCAGTACAAAGGGAGGTCTCTGGATACAAATCTGGAACCTTTGTGAGGGTTGACTTCACAAAGGGTTGGTTACGTTTCATTGTTACATCATCATCCATTCCTGGAAAATAATTTTTGATGTAAATTAAATTACACTCAAGCTAGCAATCTGATTTATAAGCTAAATTTGCTTGTTAATGACTGTTTCATTTATAGCACATATTATCAAAATGAGAATACGGATGACAATATAAGATCCATTCCTGTCGTTTCTAAGTTGTTTACTTAGTCACAAACTGCACTGCAACATGCCATGGGGGGATCCCATAAAATCCTTAATAATAGCAATGGCCAAGCCAGCCCATGTAGCACAGTGGTTAAGTGCTGTGCCTGGGACATCAGATCCTAAATGGCTGACAAGTGGGCATGGGGACCAAGGTTCAAGTCTCAGCCCCAGTGCCTTGAGAAACATGCTAAGTGTGTGTGCATGCGTGCACACATTCTGACAGGATGGAGAATGGAGGATGAAAGACTGCAATGTAACCATATCCCACTGGAGAGTCATTCTCTTTCTCCCGTGAGCACATGAACCCTCTGGCTGTTAAAAAAGTTAATGTAGATGTATTAATTTGCAACAATATATTTATCTATGTAAGGGACTCAGTTTTGTCTCATGATCAGGCAAACCAAATTGAAAGTAAAATTGTAATCACAAGGTTGCTTGGAAGCATGGAATTGGTCGATGGGGCTTGTTAGTAACAGCAACCAATATTTATTGAACACTTAATATGTTCCAGACTCTATGCTAAGTGCTTGCTATACATTTTCTCACTGAGTCCTTACATCAACTCTGAGGTGGGCAATGTTGTTGTTACGGTTTTACAGATGAGAAGAGTAAGGCTATGATAATTAAAACAGCTTCAAGTGAACACGGACAACTAAGTGGCGTAGTCTCAGAGCAAAGCTGCAATAGCTTCCAAAGGCCACACTGAACCTGTTAACGCTGTACTCCTCCACTTCAAATTTTAGGGGTCATTTACATCGTAAGGCTCTTCTCTTTTAAAATCCCGAGTTCCACATTCCAGTTTGTTCACTCCAGTGACAAATCATACTATCTTAAGGTGAAGTCGCTAAGCCCAGTGATATAAATGAGAAGCAGCTGCAATGATAAGATGACCTTGAACTGTCCCCAGTTATACTCAGTAATGTGCTACAGGGCAGAAAAGTATGAGGCATACATTCAATGGTTTCTTCAAAAAAAAAGGTTAAAATGTAAACGGTTTGGATATTTAGCAACAAAATCTTTCTCTTGAACATTAAATGTCTGTCTTGCCCAAGTGGCCTTTTTCTTTCCTAATGCTTTACTCTTCATTTTTTCTTCACCCAGGGAAGGAATTATTAAATGCTATATTTCTTTCTCATTTACTATATAGGTCAACTATGTAAAAAGAAACAAAACAAACAAACAAACAAAACACACAGGTTTCTCTGTTTTCAAGTAATTTCTCCCCCCCCTTTTTTTAAAAAAAGTTTAATTTACATTTATTCCTACTACTTGGTATGTATCCATTTGATCATTACCCAACCATAAACTTTTAGTAGTAATTTGGCAACCTGATTGTATATTTATTTGTTGGGTTTTAGTGGCATTATTTTTAGAAGGTCCCTCGATGCACATTAGATAAACAGCATATACCAATTATCATAGCTCAGTATGACAGAATCCAGTAGCCATCAATTTGAACCCCAGCTCCTAAGTCATTAAACATAATTAAGCCTCAATTTTTATCACATATATTAATAAAACAAGAATAACATGTACCATGTTTTAGGATGGTTATAAAGATTAAATGCAAGTTAAGATAGAACAGGATGATCAACAAATATATTGGGAACCAGCAGTTAGCGTAATGGCTATGTCGCTGGATTCCCACGTAGTCGACCGCAGTTCGCGTCCCGGACCCAGTGGCTTAAAACTCATGCCGGGCGCGTGTGCGTGCGTGCCCAAGATCCCAAGAGGAGAATGGAGGAGAAGGGATTGTGGCGTGACCATCCCCTCTGGGGAGTGATTTCTCGCTTTCTGTCTCTATGTTTCTGTCTGTCTGTCTGGCAAGCACACGCGCCCTATAGCGAAAACCTCTAAAAATAATAATAATAAAAAAAATATATTAATACTTTTTTCTTCTGCTTATTTGGATAAAAAACACCACCACAAAAACAAACAAACAAACAAAAACTATGAGAGGGAAGGAAAGACTGGCTATTTAAGTTTGGAGTTGAGACCGAGATACTAGATAGGTTTCTGGAATCTCACTTCAAGATTGTTCCACAAGAGCAGGAACGTGTGAAAGAAGACTCTTCATATTTTTCCTTCTTCAAGGCTCTCCACCCATTTCTAGTTATCCCACCACTCAGAAATCCTATGCACCTAAGCAAGAAAGCTTACGGTGGTTCATAGTATGACAGCATTTTTCACTGGCCTCCAAAACCAAGCAAGTCAGTTCAAACCAAACCAAACCAAAGAGTAAAAAACAACAACAATAAAACTTGAAACTGACATCATATCATCCTTTACTATCTAAGTTAACACTATACAGAATTCACAATGTTAGTCATGAGTAGTAAGTGGAAGACACCAAGAAAAAAAAATTACATGGTACCTTAAAAAAAGGTAGCAAATTCCTTGTTGGCGAGAAGTAGTTATACTTTAATAGAACAAACTTGATGCTTTTTGACAGTTGAGTGAACAATGTTTTTGGATGCCTGTAGGTACCTACCAAATACCCATAATCAGTGTATGCCACAGCTGAACAAAAGTTTCAGTGACCCTTTAGTCAGCCTACCCTCAAATATGGGGAAAGGAGAAATGATGTGGATTTGGGGAAATGTCTAAAAGTTTCATATTCCAGTTTGACTCTCCTTTGCCATCCTAAAAAAGTCCACAGACTGATTTCCACATGACCCTCACCCAAACCTAAGGACAGTCCTCCCACTGTAGAAGCCTGGCTTATCTGAATTATCCCTGCAAACATAGACCCGGCTATGGTATTTCTCTTCAAAGGAAAACTTCATTTCACCAGCCATATGAAATCCTTCAGGTATCATACATATTTACGATGTTCTGTCCAGACCCCACCAGACCTTTCACTTCAAGAGAGTAATTGTTTTACCAGAAAATACTGTATGTTGGAGTTGAAACATTCAAAAAGACTGGTAGGCTGGAAGAGATGCAGAGAGCCAGCACTATTATGTCAGGGGAACAGAAATAAATAAATAAATGAAAACTTGAAACAAGCTCAGATGATAAAGGAGAAGACATAAAACCTGCAACTTAAATTCTGTGGCTACACCTGGAGATACAGGGGAGAAATGCAAAACTATCCCTTTGGAAATGTATTTGCTACCTGAAGAAAAAGTCCTTGCTGGGTGGCAGCTCAAAGTCTATATCTGTTGGCCATAGTTCCAAGTCAGAGCTGGGACAAGACAGAGACTGCTTGTTCACACTTCGTCCCCACCTAATGTTCACGGTTGCCCCCATTTGGGTCTGATAATCATATCTGTGTCCCACAGGCTCTGGAACTCAGCACATACCAGATTCTCTTAGGCCCAGGTTGTTTAGGTTTCTGGGTGCTGTGAGCCATCCCCATACCTCTGGGCTCAGACCTGCTTTGAGAAGTCCAGGGGAGAGATGGCAGCAGCAGGTAACACCATATTTGCTCATCTTTGCTTCTCTTTGGAGAAGGGGACAAGTAGGACATTCCAGGTCCCCAGAATTCACTTGCCCTCCTTTGCTACTTTTGCTTTACTGTCTACAGATGCCCTCAGCCCATCCAAACATCTAAGCATAACTACACAGTACCAAAGAGCCCAAATTTAGATTAAGATCTGCAATGAGTTCTTATTGAAAGAATAATCCCATCAAAGTCTTAAAATAAGCTGATGTGATGCTATTACATCAACTTGCGATTGACTAAATTCAGGTTCAGACAAGTGCTTGCTCAAGCTTTCATGTATGGCCAGATGCAAAAAATAGCTTGGTCTTCACTCAGAGTCCTGTCCTCTTGGCAGGCCCTTCCCTGAAGCAGAAGGCCTTTCCTGCCTAGACAAGGCCAGTCAGAGAGTCTAGATGGGTCCCTGAGACTCAGTGGGATCTTAGCAGTGGTGAAACAATCAGTGAATGCAATGCAGCTTGACAAATAGCAAGTCCCTTAGACCAGAGCAATACCAATAAAAGGTGTTTGCTACTATCATGCACAAACAAAACCATGCTTTGGCTCTTTATTGGGTACCAGTGGAGAGAGAACCCTTCCTATTAAGTAAATATAATCATTCCATATAACTGTTTTAAAAGATAGTTTTGGGACCAGCAGATGGTGTGATGGCTATGTTGCTGGGACTCCCATGTAGTTGACCACAGTTCAAGTCCTGGACCCAGTGGCTTAAACTCACACTGGGTGTGTGTGCGTGCATGCCCAAGGTCCCGAGAGAAGAATGGAGGAGAAGGGATTGTGGCATGGCCATCGCCCCCTGAGGGGGTGATTTCTTGCTTTCTGTCTGTCTCTCTCTCTATCTTTTTGGTGAGTGCATGCGCCCTATAACAAAAACCTCTCCAAAAAAAGATAGTTTCATTATTAAACTAAACTAGGAAAATAACAAAACTATTAATAGCAGCTAAATGTTACCATAAACTAAATGGACTTGACATTTATAGAACATTTCACCCAACAGCTACAAAGTACACAATTTTCTCAACTACACACAGACATAAGAGGACACAAAACCAGCCTTTACAAATTTAAAAATGCAGGAATTGGGACAAACAGATGGCGTAATGGTTACATCACTGGACTCCCACATGACTGACTGCAGTTCGAATCCCAGACCTGGAGGCTTGACACTCATGCTGGGTGCATGCGTGTGCATGCCCAAAATACTAAGAGGATTTCTTTAATATGACCCCTAAAGCACAGGTAACAACTCCAGAGACAGACAAGTGGTATTACATCAAGCTAAAAACCTTCTGCGTAACAAAGGAAACAATAGAGACAACTCATAGAATGAGAGAAAATATTTGCAAACTCTGCTTTAGATAAGGGATTGATAAACAATATATATAGAGAGAATTCAAGCAGCTCACCTGCAGAAAAAACTAACAATCCAATTTAAAAATGGGCAATTGATCTGAAGAGACAACTCTCAAAGGAAGACATACAAATCACCAAAAAGTATATGAGGAAATGTTTGAAATCTCTTATCATAAGGGAAATGCAAATCAAAACCACAATGAGATATCACCCAACCACATGACCCACTCCTGGGTATTTATCCAAAGGACAAGTTGGAGAGACATTTGCACATTCATGTTTATTGCAGCATTATTCGCAATAGCTAAGATATGGAATTGACCTAAGTGTCCAAAAATTGAGGACTGGGTTTTTAAAAATTTGGATCATATACACTGGAATTCTACTCAGGCATAAAAAACCAGTGAGATTCTGTCATTTGATACAAAGTGGATGAATCTGGAAGATTCAATGCTAAGTGAAATAAACCAGACTATGAAAGACAAAAACTATGTACCTGCTCAGTATATACCAAATAACCTGCACATGATGGCAGAAATGGAAAGATCTGAAGACACAGAATTAAAGACAACAACTAGATATCAGTGACTGCATAAGGTGTTGGGGGTGGGTGTCAGGGGCTCAGGAATAAAGGGTTTAACAGACACAAGAATGTATGTCAATAAGCCAAGTAGGTTATGAAACAGAATATCACAACAGGATAAATAAAAGGATGTTTTTATTTTATTATGGCATAAGGTGATGTTCTTTGTTGAAAATGATTGATATGGTCACACACTGCATAAATGCTTTGAAAACTTTGCATCCTACAAAGATGCACAATTTAATGTAAATAAAAATTAGAAAAGAAGGCTCTGTCTTAAACCACAAGGGGGCAGGGTTGCTGTGCTAGTGCATATATTTTTAAGTGAGTTCATACGTGATTCCATGAACAGGCAGATGGATAAGTATGCTTTATAAAACCTGGAGTAAATGGATTTGCAAGCCCTCCAAATTAATAATAGCAACCACAGTTATGTTGTGATTTGTATTACCACTTATCTATATGCAAAGTCCTTCCACTGGCACTGTGTCAGTGTGATACTTCAGAGCTCTTCTTTATTTAGTGCTTGGTGAATACTCTTCATAGCTAGATTGAAACTGAAAATAATGGATTGTCGGAAAAGTCATGGCATGATTTTCTATGCAAAACTCGTCATGATTTTTCTGACAACTCAGCAGCACTGCAGCTACATGGTGCATATTTCACGTTCAGTAGCACTCTCATGTTGATTTTGATGGAGGATGAGTTTTAGAAAAGAATAGCACGGTGGCTCAGCATGATGATGCAGTTGGTAGCAAACTGAACCGCAGTGCTAGAAGACACCTGGCTGACTGTGCGTTCAAAGTTGGTGTGAAAACCCAGAGGGTGCCCAAGATCCTGACAGCTTGAGGGCTAGAGAAAGGGGATTTCAATATAATGGGACACTGTCAAGGGTCCTTCATTCTCCCTTCTCGTGTATTTGCACATTTTCTGTGATGAATAAAATAAATGTAAAAAAAAAAAATAGCTGAAGTAACACACTAAAGCAGCAGTCCCAGCATTCCTAGTACCAGAGAACCACCTTGTGGAACATAATCCCTTCACAGACCAGGGGTGCGGGTTGGGAGAGTTAGTCCAGGATGACCCAAGCATATCACATCCACTGGGTACTCCATTTCCACCAGTACCACACTGTAGTATCCAATGAAACAATTGCACAACAATAGGGTTCACACTTTCATGACAATCCAGTACTGCCACTGATCTGATAGGAGGTGGAGCCCAGGAGGCAATGTGAGTGATGGGGAGCGACTGCAAACACAAACCAACCCTGGCTCTCTCACCCACAGCCCACTCCTGCTGTGTGGAATGGTAGAATGGCAGCAGTTCATGGCCTGGCCCTCTACAGGCCATGGACTGGCACCAGTCCACAGGTCGGGGATTAGGAACCTCTGCACTAAAGGGTCAACATAGGTAGAAATGTTATAGAAAGGTTAAGTGAACATAAGCCTCGTGAGAAAACTGTAGAATGAACACCGGAGTATTAGAAGAGAGGACCACAAATAGTGATAGCAATGAGGAAGAAAAAAGACCCAGTAGTAAGTTTATTTAGATGCTAGTAAAAAAAGAAAGGATATTGTATAACATCCTCAATCATAGGGAATCAACCATGACTCAACCAGGAAGACGCAGCCCTGTGAGTTCACCAATAATCTTTGGTACTTTTGTTCTGGTTCGGGGGTGCAGGTTAGGGATGCAGGCATAAAAGGGGGTAAAGGCATCCATTTCAGGGATGTGTGGCAAAGGAAAGTGGCTAATTTCCTTTGCACTTAGCTCCATGCTTCTGTGCTATCCTCCCTCATCCTTTACCATCGCCTTAGCAGGTGGGAAGTTCTGGAATAACGCATGCAAAACATTCCAGCAATTATGCAATAGACCCATGAAATTGACCACGCTCCACTTTGACTTGATGTAGTAACATAACCTTTATGCCCATTACTGATGGGTATTTCTTCCCCTACGCCATTCTGAATGGAAAAAGATCACTTTCACCTTGACAGCACAGAAGAGCAATTCCAAACTCTGCCCAAAGAGACACCGACAGTTAAACTGACGTGATTTCATCATCATCTCAAGTGGTGTGTTTCTCTACTGCAATAGTTTTCTAAGCATAATCCCTGGCTCTTGGCCCTGTGGCATCCACACCACCTGGGAAGACGTTAGCAATTCAAGACCACTAACTAACTCAGACACTTGCCATGGGGCCTGGCAATCTGAACAAACCTTCCTGGTGGATCTGCTGCATGTGTCTGAGAGCCACCACTCCTTTCCCACGTTCATTTAGTCTTCTGTGATGAAGGCCAGCCGGCCTACAGAAAACAGCCTGGGAAGACTTCCAGCCCCAGGTCATTTGGCACGGTTGAGGAGTGGGAAGGGTCGAAGCTAATAGTGCTAGGTCACCACCCCAATCCTGGAAAAAATGCAAAATGGTGTGTTCAGCATTCTCTGTGTCTGTTTTATGGCCACTGAGAAGCAAACTTGGCTTTTTTCCTAAATGGGAACTGATGTAACAGGGTAACATCCTGTTTTCCTGATGGCTTGCTGATTTCCAGGTCATTCACCATATACAATGAGGGGTACTCTGACTTGCTATGCCTCCGTATTTAAGCAGCATGTGTCGTGCTTTGTCTTATATGAACCAATGGGCCCTGCACTTCTCACCCTCTGCAGATCTCAGGCAGAGAACATCCTTCACCATTAGTACATAGAGGCTGACTTGTTCTCAACCCAAAGGTCTTATCAGATGCTACATTTTGTGTTAATAATAATAATAATAATAATAAAATCTCACATACCTAGGTGCACCTGTTTCATATATTCAATTAGTGAGGCTTTGTTATCATTCCAAAAGAATGGAAGCTTCTCTTCACGAGGATATTTACAGCATGACAGCTCCAATGTAATTTCAAAACACTGGGCCCAGACATAGTTGTAATCTTGCATTCCACCTAAACACAAGCACATTTAATTTTGTTAAGGTCTACAACTGGAGTGGAGCCAAGTATCACGTACCTTGGGGACAAGTGAGTCAGACAGTTGTAAGGGAAAGTACATGTAAACAGGAAAAGGTGAAATTGACATATTAGCATGTAAAATCAAGGCTTGACATTTTATTACCCAGCCATGACCAGGCAACCCTAAATATTCACAGATGGGTTCCTGGATCCATGCTGACCGAAGTTCAACTGTGAATCATTAAGTGAGGGGCATGGAGGGAAGGGTTCTTTAAGCTTTTTTTTTTTTTTAAGATCCTACATTACAAAAGAAATTCTTCAGATAGCATTTCCTCCTTAACTTACATTTAAAAAAAAATTGCCAGAGCATGTGTGTGCTTGCTAGAGAGAGAGAGGAGAGGGAGAGAGCACCACTCAGTGGGTTGTGGTCATCCTGCAATTTCCCTCTCCATTTCTCTATCCTTTAGGGATTTTAGGTATGCATGTACATGTGTGTTAGCACCCTTAAGCATCAGGCTGTGGGACAGTCTTTAAATTACACTTTAAATGGATATGTTAGAATTAGATTTCTTTAAAAATATTTCTAGGAACAATTTAGAAGTACATTGATTATGTAAAGCTAAGTACCCTAATTTGGGGGAGTAACAAAGCCCGGCATTTATTGGGTATTCACCATTGCTAGGTACTGTTCAAAGTCCTTGTTGTAATCCACACAGCAATCCGTGCTCCTATTTTACAGATGAGGAAACGTCACCACAGATGTTAAATAAGATGTTGGGATTCTAGCCAGTGAATGGCAGAATTGGAGCCTAGGCCATCTTGCTCAATGCCCGTGCTCTTACCCACCACACCAGTGTTCCTGGAGACAAGCAAGAAGTGTTTCTGCTGACTCTCAGGATGTAAAAAACCCAGATCCCTGTTGCTTCTGGGGTTGCCATGGCTCATGCTTGTTTTCTAGTTCTTACTTCCAGATATTTTTTTTAAGATCCTGCATTACAAAAGAAATTCTTCAAATTGTTTTTTTTTTTGAGAGGTTTTTTGATATAGGGCACGTGTGCTTGCCAGAAAGACAGAGAGACACAGAGAGATAGTGAGAAATCACCCCCCCAGGGGGGATGGCCATGCCGCAATCCCTTCTCCTCCTTTCTCCTCTCAGGATCTTGGGCACGCACGCACATGTGTCTGGCGTGAGTTTAAACCACCAGGTCTGGGATTTGAACTGCAGTCGACTACATGGGAGTCCAGCGACATAGCCATTACGCTGACTGCTGGTTCCTCACATTGTATTTCTTTCCTAACTTACATTAAAAACAAACAAACAAACAAACAAACAGAAAAACCAACCTGCCAGAGCATGTGTACATTTGCCAAAGGGTTATAATCACTTCATATTTTCTAAAATACAAAACCTGTTATATTTAATGTCTCTGAATTGCAATGTATCTTAAATGCCATGGCTGAAAAACATCATGTGTTGGGCCAGCCCATGGCAGGGTGGTTAAGGCAGCTGGATCACACATGGCTGTCTCCACAATTTGAATCCCAGACCTGGTGGCTGAAGAAACATGCTGGGCGCATACGTGTGCATGTCCAAAATCCCAAAAGGAGGAGAAACGAAGCAGAAGGGGTTGCAGTGTGACCACCTCCCATGGGGGGTGCTTGCTTTCTCTCTCTGTCTGTCTCCCTTTGGTGAATACATGTGCCCTTTCACAAAATTAAACAAACAAACAAATATCATGTATTGTAGCCAGTAGGTAGCATGGTGGTTAAGGGGATGGACTCCCACATGACCAACTTCAGTTTGAGTCCCAGACCTCATGACTTGCTTTCTCACTTTCCCAGTCTCTCTCTGTATGTCTCTCTCTCTGGTAAGCTCATATGCCCTATAGCAAATTTAAAATAAATAAAATAATCTAAAAATCATGTGTTTAACTGAAAACATTTTTCCCCTTTCTTGGCGATATGTGGTGCTTTACACGGAATGGCATCTCGGATTTGAAGAAATACAGTAACTTTCAAGAAAGTAGCTTCTGACAGGTTTTAAGTTGTTACACTTGATATTTTCCCAAGAAGATATGTATTTTTAAATTTCTTAGGACCAGCAGTTAGCATAATGGCTATATCGCTGGACTCCCATGTAGTCAACTGCGGTTCGAGTCCCGGACTTGGTAGCTTAAACTCACGCCAGGCGCGTGTGTGTGCATGCCCAAGATCCCAAGAGGAGAATGGAGGAGAAGGGATTGTAGCACAGCCAGCCTCCCTGGGGGGGTGATTTCTTGCTTTATGTCTCTCTCTCTCTCTCTCTGTCTTTCTGGTGAGCACACGTGCCCTGTAGCAAAAACTTCTCCAAAAAAAAAAAATCCTTCAGGATATTTGGAAAGTACTATAAGTTCAAAAAAAAATTTAATGCTGGGAACCAGCAGTTAGCGTAATGGCTATGTTGCTGGACTCCTACATAGTCAATTGCGGTTCGTGTCCCGGACCTGGTGGCTTAAAACTCACGCCGGGTGCGTGTGCGTGCGTGCCCAAGATCCCGAGAGGAGAATGGAGGAGAAGGGATTGTGGTGTGACCATCCCCCCTGGGGGGTGATTTCTCGCTTTCTGTCTCTCTGTCTCTGTCTGTCTGGCGAGCGCACACGCCCTATAGCGAAAACCTCTCCAAAAAAAAAATTTAATACTAAAAATAGGTTAAATTATATCATAATATGATTAAAATATTAAGTAATTATCAATGCAGGCTCAGATTCCAGTTAAAAGAATTTTTCTGTCCATTCTATTTCCTTCACTTATCTTAAGGTCTTCCATTTCTCTCTGAACTCATTTTTGCTGGAAAAGAGAGAAAAGTAAACAAAAAGTCCTTGGCTGACTGGATATGTGTCAGGTAGAAAATATTCAAAAGGGAAAATAGGTGTACATTATGGATCATGAGCAAGGTCTCCAGGACTGAGAATGCCCAGCGTGGAGAGTGTATGTAGTTATGGATAGGGGCCAGTGAAGCCTGACCAACCAAACACCTACAGGACACGTGCACTTGCCAGAGAGAGAGAGAAAGTGAGAAATCACCCCTCGGGGGCGATGGCCACACTGCAATCCCTTCTCCATTCTCCTGGGATTTGGGGCACACGTGCACACGCGGCTGGCATGATTTTCAAGCTTCCAGGTCTGGGATTCGAATCACAATTAGCCATATGAGAGTCCACCATGTTAACCACTATGCCACCTGCTGGCCCAGCAAGAACATTTGCTGTAGGCTCCTCAAGAGCAGCTGGCTCTGCCTTTTTAATTTTGAGAAGGATACACAGCTGACCTCTGAGGAGGATACACAGCACAGGTAGGAACAATTCCCTCCAGCAAGTGTTCCTAGTTAATTTCCTAGACATCTGGATTGGTCTTGAACGTTACAGTGAACACAAAGGACCACTCTGGCCCTGGGCAGGAGCTCTAAAGAGTGAAGAACAGACTATGCTGGAGCCCTAAGGTGGGGAGGGGACTGGATCTTGGACGGCAGAGAGAAGGTGGGGGTATTGTGGGAAGGGTGTGGTGCCTAGCTGGACCTACTGCCTATCAGCCCTGGTCTATGCTTGTTCACGTCACCTGGAGCACTGGCAGAGAACTGCCCAGACACAAAAGTACCAGCTTTTGTATAAGATTACAGGGAAGGCACCTTTGGAAGTGGCCTGCATGCAGAAATGTAGACTACAGCTTGCTTTTGATTGGATGGTCCATAGGGAATGCTTCCCACTAAGGCAGGGAATCCCAGGCCCAGCCCACTGCCTTCCTGCTTGCTCCTCCAACCCTGGATCCTCCTATTACTGTTCAGTTCCCAAAAGAGAATGAGTTCTCTGACACCCCTGGCCAGCTGATTTTATTCCTTCTGATAAGAATGTACTTTCACAGGGACCAGCAGATGGCGTCGTGGTTAAGGTGTTGGGCACTCCCACATGGCCAACCACAGTTTGGGTCCCAGATCTGGTGGCTTGCTTTCTCACTTTCTCTCTCTCTCTCTGATCAAATGAAAATAGATTAATGAATAAATAAATAAAATTAAATAAATAATAATTAAAAAAAAAAGAATATCCTTTCTTGCAGGCTCCCTACATGGCAGTCTTACCCCCTTCTTTATCTGGCCCAACTGTTCCAAGGGTGGAAAACTGCCCCCTTCCTGTTGTACCCTGCCTAATGAGCTCTTTTATGTAGCCTGCAAACTTGCTTAAAATCATGATACTTCATGGACAATTACAGCTTCTTTTACAAACTATAAGAACTGGCAATACTCCTCCTCCTACAGGACAGTAATTAGCTGGATCCAAGTAGCAGCCTTCTGTGTTAGACTGGATATAAACATTGAATTCCTCCAGGGTCTTCTCTACTTCCTATTGTATTTTGGCTTTATACCCGGTGGTACACTCTTTTCCAAGTCTCTATTTTTACTCTAATTACACTGCTACTGCAATTATTTATTTGCATGTCTATCACCCCTATTAAACTTGAAGATAAGGTCTAGAGAGGGTCTGTGTCTTACTCATCCTCCTGGCTCAGGAGAAGGTGAAGTGTCTGAATGAATAAAGGAGAGCCTTTATTCTCTCAAACTGTACATCGCTTCTAGTGGTCTTCTGGTATTAACCACTGGGAGCACGACAGAAGGGGACTGCACTGTGTCTGAAGATATTTCGACAATTGCTGGGTCAACATAAACCATTTGGGATCTCTGGGTGAAGGCAGTAAGGACATGGAAGAAATGAAGGAAACTTACCTTGGAGTGGATACCAAGAGTACCCATTTGTAACGCCATTGGGGAAGTTCATCTTATTTTTACACTGATCCCCTTTCTTCATGTTGGGATTTCTGGAAGCGTAAGTATGTGCGAGATACTGAAAAACATCATCATCAGGAGTCAGGCTTCGGGAGTGCAACGTCCCAGTTGCTGTATGAGAAAGACAAACCAAAACCTTTCAACGGACTTTTGACTAAGAGGAACACACACAACCATGTTAGCAAATACATAGTCACACTGCACTCAAAGGCTTTAATTTCTCTGCAGAGAAATCCTCCACCTTCTTTCACAAACACTCCCTTTACTCTTTTTTTCTACTTTTCAATAAACACATACAGTGTAATAGCTCACAAAATAAGTCATATACATATCCAAACGCCTTCTAAGTCAGTTTACCAATTAAATAGCCTCTTAATTACTCTTGCTAATTTCTGAAGGCCAGAAAACATTTCATAGGTACTGCAGGTGTTAAATTAAGCCTGTATGGTATTCTAACTCTTTTGTACATACCTCATCCTATAGAGTTTTTTTTTTTTTTTTTGAATTATTTTATTTAACTTTATTTTTTTAAAATTTGACCAAAGAGGGACAGAGAGAGAGAGAGAAAAAGAGAGAGAAAGCAAGCCACCAGGTCTGGGACTTGAACTGTGGTCAGTTATGTGGGAGTCCAGCACCCTTAACAACAGTGCCAACTTCCCCCCCCCCCAGAGTTTTAAGAGGAGTCTGTAATTATTATTCATAGGATTAGCAAAGAAAGTTCTAGTTTTACTTTCTTTAGCCATTCTGCCTTTTGTGAGATAAACCACATCCCATTTTACTGTATCATGGATGAAAGTCAAGTTGTCGACTATCAGTTGAGCCACCCTGCCCATCTACTGCTTTAAGAATTATAGGAAGCAGGGCCAGCAGCTGGTGTAGTGGTTAAGACTCCGACATGGCCAACTGTGGTTTGAGTCCCACACCTGGTGGCTTACTTACTCACTTCCCCTCTCTCTCTGTCTTTCTCTGGTGAGCACATGTATCCTATAGCAATAAATAAATAAATAAATAAATAAATAAATAAATAAATAAAATTAAATAAATAATTCTTAAAAAATAAGAAAGAATTACAGGAAAGATGGGACAGGGCTGGAAAAACGAGGCTCTTCTCATTCCTGCAGAGAAGGTAAGTGAGGGAAGAAGAGTTTATTCTCACTCAGAGGCAGAGGTTATAGCTCCTCCTGACTTAGAAAGCCAGAGCGGGCTACATTTGCTTACCTGGAACGCCATTATCAAATGGGTAACTGGCCACAAGAGCACCGCCATGGAGGTTTGCAGAGAGGACAAATGACTCGGTTTTCAGCCACTTCATGACTGCCATAGTTTCAGGCTGTCTTGTTGCATTATTAAATTCAAAAGCATCAGGGAAATTTCTATTCAGGTCATACTCATTATAATTCTCCCTTTAAAAGAAAGAATTTTTTAGTTTTTTTTTGGGTGTGTGTGTGAGGGAATGGATTCTCGCAGTGCATAGACTTTGTTTTGGGCTCAAGGTGATTTTTCCAAATACGAACATAAGTGTGATGGGGGTTGCCTTGGTGGCCTCCACACCTCACACTTTCCCCTCTCGTGCGACTTGCTCTCGCCAATGGGACATTAACTTTTGTGACACAAGCAGAGGGTTGATAAGTGTTTGCATTTTGAGACTTTTGCTTGTAGAACATTCTCCTTTAGAACCCTTAGACTTGATAGTAGCCACATGGAGAGTCCACACGGAGAAAGGAGCAACCCAGGTGACGGCAGAACTGAGATGCCAGGCTAGCTATCTTGGACAGATTTAAACTGAGACCCCAGATTCCTGACTTACAGAATTGATAATAAATTAAAAAGGTTGATATTTTAAGTCACTAAATTCGGGCTGAATGGTAGCACAGCAGTAGAACCATGCTCTGGAAGGCTGACCAACATGGGAGAGCTCCAGTTGTATCCTGTCTTAGCCATGTTACCTCTTGTGAGAGGATCTATATCCAATTTCACTCTATGCCTGATGAATGCCAAGTTCAAAAAGAGTTAGAGAGAGAGAAAGCACCCTCAATGGGGCATGGTCATGCCACAGTCCCTTCTCCTCCACTTCTCCGTTGGGATTTGGGGCATGCACACATATGAACCAGGTATTTCTCAAGCTGCTAGGTCTAAGACTTGAACCGTGCAGAGTTGGCCCACAATAAATACATTTTCTAAGAAAGATAAAAATATATTCAATTTTGGGGTAGTTTGTTAAATAGTAATTGATAACAGCAATAAGTGTAATCTAATGAGTGGGGTGGGCATGTTTAAATATGCTAGAAAAACTTAAAATGGAAGGGAATCAAATGGTGAGGTTTTATTTATATTTTAATAAAGCAAACACATTTACAAATTGCACAAATATAAATGTATATTAGACATTTGAGAAATTCCAAACTTCTCATGGCAGTTTGAAAGAAAATTAGTTGTTTACATGTGAGCTACGACGAGACCTACTGCTTTTTTTTTTTTTTTTTTTCAGTTAGTTTTTGGACTACAAGCTTAATAAGTTAACCAGCAGTAGTTATCAAGGACCGGGGACTATTCTAGACATTTGGGATTTATAGTGGATGAGATTCTTGCTCGCAGTTTAATAGGGAGAGAGACATTAGACAAGGAATCAGACATTAACAGTTGTGCTGCGAAGAGGCAGTGCCGGTGATCTGAGAGGATACGACGGACCTAAAATGACAGGGTGGGGAAGGAGTTTTGGAGGATATATTATTTAATCAGTGGGCGTGAGTGAGAGTAGGAAATGGCATGTGTGAAATGTCTGAGTAAGAAAACCTTGGGGGGTGGTCAGAGAGGCTGAAGTGGGGTGAGTGGGGGTGAGTAGCACGTGAAGGTCAAGGAGTAGAGGGGCCTAGAGGTGAAGCAGCCTTGCTCAGGATTTTAACATCTTATCCTACAAGCAATGGGAAGCCCTCAGAGCTTTAGCACATCAACAACACAATACAGACTCTCAGGTATTCAACTATTAGATAACTCTTCTTGGGCCAGCTGGTGGCATAGTAGTTAAGGTGGCGGAATCCCACATAGTCAACTGAATAGTTCAAGTCCCAGAAATGGCAGCTGGAGAAATACACTGAGTGTGAGCGTATGAATGCCCAGAATACTGAGGGGAATGGAAGGGAAGGGACTGAGGTATGGCCATCACCTCCAAGGAGATGCTTTCTTGCTTTCTATTTCTCTTTCTCACTCTCTTTCTCCCTCCAAACAAGCTCATGCACTCTACAGCAAATTAAGAGAGAGAGAAACTCCTCTTGTCAGTGCCAATGGGTGCCCGATGGAAGTCTTTGTGTTGCTTTGTTTTTAAGTAGAGACAAATGACCTCATCATTACCTTCCATTACTGTAAAAGCAGTCAGGCTTTTTGACAGCTTCAAATCCATCCGGGTTCATCGATGGCATGATGTGTATCCGGGTGTTATTGATCAGATTTGTGATTTCAGGGTCTTTCCCATCACCAGTTACAAGATACTCAATCAGATGGAGCATCAACTCTCGCCCAACAGTCTGTACGTGTTAAAGAGAAGAGGACGTATTATCAGGTCAGAGGCAGTGAAAAGAACAATCCCTAAAGCACAGATTGCCAACACAGACGTCTAAACGTGATATTGCACACCAAAACTTGTGTGTAAACCTGCTGTCGCTCAAGCGGACTGACATTCTGGCAAGAGGCAATCCATCATGGCGTGTGCTGAAAACCAAGCACTAGCAAAAATGACAGAACACACTTGTAAATTTGCTCTTTTAAAAGTGAATTAGAGAGTAGCAGGTGGTGTGGTAGTTAAGGAGGTGGAGTCTCACAGGGCCAACCATGGTTTAGGTTCTGGACCCAGTGGCTTGAAAATCATGCTGGGCATGTGTGTGTGTGTGTGTGTACCAGAAATCCTGAGAGGAGAATGGAGGAGAAGGGATTGCAGCGTGGCTACACCCCGGAGTGTGCTTTCTTCCTTTCCCTCTCTCTGTGTCTCCCTGTCTCTCTCTAGCAAGCACACATACCCTATGGCAAAAACCTAAAAGTAAATAAATAAATAATGAATTAAAAAGTGAATTAGAGTGGAGTAAAGATTTTTCTTATTCTAATGTTTTTCATTTGCTTGTTTTCCAAAATACTTCCTGGAATGGTAGAGAGAGCGAGGTGGAGTGATGAAGGCATGGGAACTGTGTATCTCAGGAGAATGCCCATGGGTATGAAAGCCATCGGGTAAGTCTTAGTAGATAACAAATTCAGAACCACTACATTAGACGCTGTAGATTTTAATAAAGAAAAATTCAGTTTGTCACATTTTAAATAGATTTCTCATTTCTATATTCCCGTTTCTAAATTTCTCTATTTTCAAATTCCCCTATCGTGTATTTGTGCCATTTCTGCCATATTTGTGTATTTTGATTCCCACTTGCTCATGTTTCTGAAACTTTAGTCATTTGCACATCATCCTTACAATTTCTTGCCATATCTGCATATTATCCACACACTTTTTTGTTGTTGTTATTAATGCTAGAGAGTACACACATGAGAGAGAGAGAACAAATCCCTTAGAAAAGATTGGTCATGCCACAATCCTTTTCCCTCTCATTCTCCTTCCCTTCCAGATCCTGGGTGCACAGCTATTTGGCGTGAGGCCAACAGGACCAAGACGCAAACCCTGGTTGGCCATGTGGGTTCTGGCTTTGACTGTATAGCATCTAACTGCTATGCTATGGGGCCAACCCCATATACTTTTTTCACTTTATATTTTCTTTAAGTGGGCTCCCACTTTACATCATTATCACTTTGCTAGATATCTATTTCTAATATATATTATGTAAGAACATAGCTATTAAAACTTAAAACACTGTCACATCTAAAATCATCTTATGTACCATCAAGGACTAGGAAATTGAAAACTTATGAGGAGATCTAACTTAAACACTAAGAAAGAGATTTATGTTCTTTCTTTCTCTTTAAAAAGCAAAGATACATGTTTATTTAATGTGCACAGGGAGAAATGGCATGAGTATGATTATCCTATTTTTCTTTTTTTTTTTCAATAGGGCATGTGTACTTGCTGGGGGAGAGACAGAGAGAGGGCAAAAACACTCCCCAGTGAGGCTCAGTTATACTGCAATCCCTTCACCTCCATTTCTCCACCCTGTCAGAATTTTGGGTATGCAAGTACACATGCCCAGCCTGTGTTTCAAGTGACTGGATTCAGGATCTGAAATTCCATGTGGGATCTAGCCAGTGGGATCTGGCTCCCTTAATCACCAGGCTATGGGGATGGTCTCTTCCCCACCTTTTTCTATTTGAAAAAGTGTAATTCAAGTTTGTTTAGAGTATATCAAGTTCTACCTATAATTCTAGGTTTGAGGAATCTGCTTCTGAAGATCAGATATTGTTGAGGGGCTAGCAGATGATAAAATAAGGACAGAGCTACAGAGATACTGATGTAAATACTGTGCAGAATAAGATTTAATAGAGCCTCAAAAAATTTTTTGATTATAATTACACGGTAGGAATTAATTATTGTGAAAAGAATGAACGATCCTTGAATGATACTTCCTTACTTTATCCTTTTCAGGGAGACCATATTTTATAAATGTTTTTATCCCAGTGAACATAGAATGGTTGAAATTATGATTAAGAAAATTTGGGGGGCCAGCAGGTGGCATGGTGATTAAGGCCTTGGATTCTTACATGGCCGACCGTGAGTCCCAGACCTGCTGGCCTGCATTCTCTTTCTCCCTTTCTCTCTCCCTCTCTCTCTGTCTCTCTCTGGTCAAATTGAAGAATGACAATAAATAAATTAAATGGCATTGCCATCTTAAAATATTTAAAAAGAAAATGGCATTGCTGTCTTAAAAAAAAAGAAAATTTTGGATAGATGTGTAAATTGTACACTTAGACATAACATTTAGAATGGAAATATATTTAGTTCTGACTTCAATTTTTCTCATTCATTTTTATTTCCTCTTGTATTACCTTGATTTTTTTTTTTAAATTACCAGAGAGTGTGTGAGCTCACTGGAGAGGGAGAAAAAGAGAGAGAGAGAGAATATGAATGTCCTAATGAGGTGTGGTCATGTCATTCTTTCATCTCTCCATCCTGTGAGGATTTTGGGCACACATATATACCTGTCATGTTTTCAAGTTGCCACAGCTAGGTTCAAACTGTGGTCAGGTCCGAAGTGTGGGATCCAGCTCCCTATGCATGGCACTTAACTCATTTAACTGCTGTGTTGAGACCAGCCTATTGATGAAAACTGTCACTAGAAAGAGTCCTTATAAACAAATAATCAAAAATGTCATGCATGTCCCACACTGGATTGCCATTTCTAAGATATACAATACACTTTGGAAGTTCAAGCATCTTTGGAAGCAACCTCAATGAAATAATTTCGAGTTAGTTTTATTTAATATGGTGAGAGATAGAGGCCTAGTTTTATTCTACTGTATATAGTCATCCCATTTTCCCCACATCATTTATTGAAGAGACTATCTTTTCACCAGTGAATTATCTTGGGTGCTTGGTCAAAATCAACTGGCAGGGCCAGCAGGTAGCATGGAGTTTTGGCACTGGATTTCCACATGGCCACCCATGGACCCAGTGACCTGCTTTTTCACTCCCCCCTCCCCTCTGTCTCTGTCTCTCTCTGGTGAGCAAATGTGCTCTATAGCAAATTCAAACACATAATGAAAATGAAATCATTAAAAAGTAAAAATCAGGGAACCAGCAGTTAGCGTAATGGCTATGTCGCTGGACTCCCACGTAGTTGACCGCGGTTCGTGTCCCGGACCCGGTGGCTTAAAACTCACGCCGGGCGTGTGTGCATGTGTGCCCAAGATCCCGAGAGGAGAATGGAGGAGAAGGGATTGCAGCGTGACCATCCTCCCTGGGGGGTGATTTCTCGCTTTCTGTCTCTCTGTCTCTCTCTGTCTGTCTGGCGAGCGCACGTGCCCTACAGTGAAAATCTCTCAGAAAAAAAAAAAAAAAACTAAAAAGTAAAAATCAGGAATTCACTTGTCCCAATAAATCAACGAGGAAGTCATTTTTTCCTTTAATCAATATTTATTACATGCAAGGAACTTGAAGGAGAGACTCAGCATGACATGATATCTTTCCTCAAGGAGTCTTTAAAGTACTAAAAAGTAAAAATCAGTGAGCTATGCATGAATCCATTTCTGGGTTCTCTATTCTGGTCCATTGGTCTGTGTGTCTGTTTTTGTGCCAGTACCATGCAGTTTTGTTTAGTATGGCTTTGTAATATAATTTGAAGTCAGGTAGAGTGATGTCCCCAAATTTATTCTTTTTGCACAGAATCGTTTTAGCTATTTGGGATTCCAAAAAAATGTTATGATTCCTTTTTCTATTTCTGTGAAGAATGCCATTGATATTTTGATAGGGACTACATTGAGATTGCCAATCACTTTGGATAATATTGTATTTTTAAATGACCATGATTTTAAAGATTTTTAATAATCTTTTCCCTTAACTTTAGAAGGGTCTTCTAATAATTAATTTCTTCTTTTGAGAAAATATCAAGTTCCCCAATTATTTTAGTTTCACTACAGTTTCAATCTTCTAGCAATACACTCAAATAAAAATAAACTTCATACTTTTTTTTTAAAGGTAACATATATAGGACCAGCTTCATAAAGTCTCTTCACAATCTTAATGATGTATAGCAATTTAATGTATGAGTAATTTAAAAAATGATTTAAAAAAGAGTATATAGTGATCATGGTTTAACCATCTGGTCTACTTGGACTGAAAAGTACTGGGTACGATCTGAGGAGGATTAAAGGAAGGGAATCACAGGGTGACCAAACCATCCTGGTGGGGAGAGTACTTTCTCTCTCCTGTGCTCTACCATGAATAAAGATAAACAAAACCTTAAAGATAGCAGATACAACAAACATTTTACTTTCTATTCTTTAATTCCTCTCATTCTCACTACAGAAATATGCAAATCTGTAATAATGTCTTTATATTAATGATGACTATTTCTTTGATGATATTGGGAATGATTTCTACTTCCTTTGGAATATTAATGATGACTATTTCTTGGTGATGATATTGGGAATGATTTCTACTTCCTTTTTTTGGTATCACTTTTTTAATGAAAGAAAAAATCATTTTGACAAAAACAAAATCATGATTCTTTTAGGGAAACAAGCGTGTAATCAAAGTATTTTCTGATGTTTCAATATTCTAGAACAAATTGTAAGTTCTTAACTTCAAGAGTAAATAAAAATCTTGGTAATATGATAAAGAATGAAGAGTCAGAGAATTTAAAAAACGATGAGGTAAACCAATACAATTTCAGAAGGATTTAGACAAAATTCTCTTTTTTGGTGTGGGACCATATTTTGCTGCCTCTGTAAGAGCAGATTTATGCCAAATATTATTCAAATTAATTCTTCTCAATCTTAATATAAGTGTCTCAAACACTTATTCATGTTTTATGTATAAACCTTTCTTCGTTTAAAAGTAAGTCTTTGAATACGAAACCCTGGAGAGTTCAAATTT